CGAAAACCCCTCAGGTTGTTCAATGTAAATTTCTTCTTCTAAATCTCCATTTAGAAAGACAGTTTTAACATCCATTTGATATACTTTAAGATTTCGCAAAGCGTCAATCGCAAGTATCATCCTAATAGATGTTATTCTCGTCATCGGAGAATACGTATCAAAGTAATCAAGGCCTTCCCTTTGTTTGTAACCTTTAATTACTAATCTGGCCTTATACTTCTCGATAGTTCCATCTGCTTTCATTTTCCTTTTGAAAATCCATTTGTAGCCTAGTGTTTGCTTCCTGGAGGAAGATCCACTAGCTCCCATGTATGATTTTGTAGTACGGAATCTATTTCACTTTCAATGGCTTCTTTCCATTGAGGTCCTTCCGAGAAATTCACTGCTTCTTGATAACTTTGAGGTTCACTTTCTAGCATATAGGTCAAAAAATCAGAACCATAAGATTTTTCTGTCTTTTCCCGTTTGCTGCGTCTAACCTCAGTCGCCTCTTCTAATTCTTCGTTCTGACTGTTTTCAATCATTGTCTCATATGTTCACTTAGAGGAGCTTGTTTCCTCTTTGGATCTGTATGGAAATACTTTTTCAAAGAATGTAGCATTCCTTGATTCCATTATCGTGTTTTTGTGTATGTCTGGAATTAATCATACATAAGAAAGCGATACGCACTGCTATTATGTGCAGAGGCAATGAAGACACAGTCTATAGTTTTCGGGCCTATCCTTACCTTCTTTGGTGGTGAAACAGCCACTTTAGCAAAACACCCCCACACTCGCAAATGTTTATAGGTAGACATTCTTCCTTTCTATAACTCATAAGGGGTCTTTTCTGATTTCTTTCGGGGCACCTTATTTAAAAGGTAATTTGCTAATAACACGGCTTCCCCCCACATGCTCTGAAGTAACCCAGAACTTACGAGCATTGCATTCATCATCTCTTTTAAGGTACAATTTTTCCGTTCAACAACATCATTTTGTTGCGGTGAGTAAGAGGCGGTGGTTTCATGTATGATTCCGTGTTATGCACAGAATTCAGCAAATGGTGCTTCATACTCACCATCTCGATCACTTCGCAGCACCTTAATTTTCTTATTAAGTTGATTCTCAACTTCATTCTTATAGAGAATAAATTTCTCTATAGTTTCATCATTACTTTTAAGTAGATATACATAGCAGTATTTTGTACTATCGTCGACAAAAGTAATAAAATACTTGTTGCCACCTCTTGTTTGTACAAGTTTTAGATCACACACGTCACTGTGAACTAAATCTAGTGGTTCTGTGTTCCGTTTAATTGATTTAAATGATGATCTTGTCAATTTTGTTTCAACACAAGTTTCACACTTCTGTTTGGAATCGTTATTGAACTTAGGTATGCAGTTAGAGTTAACTAGTCTTCGTAAAGTATCATAGTTAACGTGTCCTAGTCTATCATGCCACAAATTGGAAGATTCAAGCAAATAAGCAGAAGAACTTGCTTTATTCATTTTTTATTTCACAACCATTACATTGAGTTTAAACATACCGTCGGAAACATAGCATTTTCTGACTAACATTTCACTTTTTGACAGAATGACTTTGTCTAACTCAAAAACAATGTGGAAACCATGCTTATTCAACAGCGACCCAAACACTAAATTCTTGCGAATTTTCGGCACATAAAGTACGTTTTTGAGAGTCAACTCCTTTCTCGAGATCATCTTCAGAACCACTTTTCCTTGACCCTTGATTTCAGAAGTTGCTGAATTTCCTATGAACAACTTCTCCACGTTCTCAACAGCTTCGAACGTATCAAACATCTCTTTATCAGAGCACACATGCCTTGTAGCACCGGTATCAATCCACCACTCTTTAGGGTTTGAACCCACCATATTTACTTCAGAAATGACTGCTGCGAGATTCAACTCCGACACATCTGTGCCATGTAGTCAACCACGTTCGCTTCTTTCTTCTTCTTCGGTAATCTGCACTCCGAAGACTTGTGACCCACTTTGTCACAATTGAAGCATTTCCCTTGGAATTTCTTTTTGACAATTCCAACTTTCGGTCCTTGCTTGGTTCTTTTGCCACCGGATGATCCAGACTTGTTTTTGTAGTTCTTACTACTTTGACCAAGCTCCACAACATTGGCTTTGGCCACACCAGGATTGAACCACTTCTTCTCGGAACTCTTGTTGTCTTCTTTGATTCGAAATCTAATAACGAGTTCTTCGACGTTCATTTCTTTTCATTTGTGTTTCAAATAGTTCTTGAAATCTTTCCACGTCGTGGGCAATTTTCCTATAATTGCAGTCACCTAAAAAGTTTCACTCAACATCATTCTTTCGGCATGAATTTCGTGAAGGATCACTTGGAGTTCTTGCACTTGACTGATAACAGTTTTGGAGTCCACCATCTTATAGTCTAGGAATTTGTCGACTATAAACTTTTTAACCCCGACATCCTCAGTTTTGTATTTTCGGTCCAAGGACTCTCACAATTCCTTAACAGTTTTCATGGTGTTACACACATTGTACAGCGCATCTGCTAGGCTGTTCATGATATTATTTCGGCACAGAAAGTCCGAATGCTTCCAAGCATCAAGTGCACTCAATGCTTGCACATCTCCCTCGCCCTCATTAAGCTTTGGAGTAGTTTCAGTCAAGAATCTCTCAAGATTCAAGGTGGTCAAGTAAAAAAGCATTTTCTGCCACCTTTTGAAATTCATGTCATTGAATTTCTCCGATTTTTCTCCATGATTAATCGAAACAGTTACAATTTGGCCAGTTTGGCTCACAACTTAACTTGGCATTCTAGCCACAGTGTGAGCCACAACGGAGCTTGGCTCTTGAGCCACATTAGAACCCACAGCCTGATTTCCAACGGGAACTTTTTGGGTCACATCCATGTTGTTCGATTCGGTTGCTATTTCTGAAAACAAACCAAATTTTAGTTCCAAGAAATTACAATTCAATGAAACAAAAAAAAAATGACTCTTGTTTTTGAAAACCAAATATTAGTTCCAAATAACTAAAATTCAGTTAAACCAAAAGCCAACTCTTGTTTTCCAAATTCAAAAAAACTATCTCAAACTTGTAAGAAAACAAGTCGCTAGTGGATGAAACCAATTGTATAAGTTTTATTCAAATGCAATAGCCAACTATTGAAATTAATAACCACAAGGCAAACGATTTCAATTTATCAA